AATTGAACATGAGTATGTGAAATTATTTTCCATGAATTAATTCTTTAAAATGCATATTATGTGAGAAATGTGTATAACATGATTATTGGTGAAAGTTCATCTAGAGAGAGGAGTAGTTAGTTAAATCCACGTGATACTGGCAGTGACTGTTGGAATCGGGACCTTGCCTAGGTATCGAACGTTAGAATCAAAAGATAGCCCTTGTCTCATGGTTGATTCGAGACTGTCCCACTTATTTTACAAGGGACTCAAACCTAACTAGTCTCCACCGATTTATGAGGAGGCTAGATTAGGAATATGACACCCCATGATTGTAAGTATTGGGGGAAACCAAATTACATGATTGAGTAAGTTCACCCTCACCTAGTAGCTCCTCACAAGTGAAAGGCTAGGTTAGTTCGTGAAGGATGTAGCTACTGGTTTTGTGTTGGAAGTAACAAGAGGGCATAAGATTGGTATATGATTATACATATAAGTCTGGCCACATGGTTGTTAGTATTGTGGTCTGGAATATGTTAGGTGCGTATGGTTGGTAGAATTGTGACCCCGTGGTGTGCATTGTGATTTAAAAATGGATATGTGTTTTTTAGGCCTGGTCATATAATTGTTAGTTTTGTGAACTGTGGCAAAGTTCCTCATATGTGCCAATGTTGTGCTTATTTTCCTATTTACATCTATTTTCAATTAATATGCAACTGTATAGGTTAGGTGAAACTTGATTACTGAGTGGTTATACTCACCCCTCAATTCTCAATATTATAAGGCCTAGCTCATCGGGTCATAGTTAGGGAAAACACGCGAAGGCTTTGGATTATAGAGTAATCCTTTTTGTATTCCTCTTCTTGTTATTTTCATGTGTATTTATTAATGCAATTGCCAACTAAGATCTCATGCCATTGTTTTTTATACTATTTGCACTATTACTGTATATAATTTGTATATTTTATGCCCTAGGTTAGTGAGTTCTTATTGTAAACACGTGGATAGGGCCAAAATACTTGTGCAAGTAGGAACATGTATATTTTGAAAGATTTGAAATGAAAATGATGATTTTGTGCAATAATTTCCTCCACCTTATGTTTTATGAAAATCAGGGTTGAGTGGTGATTTTATGACATATGTATTTTTGATTGTGTGTGGTGCATTGCACGGGACCGCTAGAGTCTATTGACTATGGTTGAATTATCGATATAAGCTTATGGCACTTGTGGTTGAGTTGGGATACCCTACTTGTAAAATTTTGTGAAAAAGTGGTAAATATGAGTTTTGGTGTCCAACTTTTTATAGAAAAAGAATTAGAGTGTGAAACTAGTGCCATTAGCTAAAGTAAAGAGAAAGCTCCATGTAGACACCAAAACCACCTCAATTGGACGTCGAATGGAGATTTAGGACGCATCGAAAGTTCGCTCCCTATGCTATCAAATGATAGCACTGATGCTGTCAAATTCGTGCAATGTACCGTAGCGTATGGCACAGATAAGGATGTGCTACGACACATATGACATATGCCACAGCGCATGCATCATTTTCTACACAAAATGTAGTTTTATGTTTTAAATTTTATTGTTTTGGGTCTCATTTGTTTTTCAAGCTTCCACACTGTTTTCAAACTCTGATTTGAGCTTAATAACTATTTGAGATCTAAAATTTTCAATTTGAGATTCCATTCTAAAGAATTTGAGAAATTTCCTTTTTTATGAAACTTTACATTTGGTACTCTTGAGGGTTTATCCCTTGATTATCTTGATTTTGGAGTAAATTGTGGTTTAATAAGGGAGACCTTACATATGAAGTTATGGCAGACTTAGCCAAAGATGGCATAGTTACATGTCTACTCTTGGCCCCTAATTCTAAGGGAAATAAGAAGCCAACTAACAACAACATACAAACATAGTACATGTTCAATACAAACATGTCTATGATATCTTCGACTTCTTGCTGAAAGAAAGTTCATTTCCTTACTGACCGACTACAAACTCCCTTCCAGAGAGGAACGAAAAGGAAGAGGCTATTGTAAATATCACCACTCAATTAACATGTATTGCACTTTTTTAAAAAACTATCCAGGAGCGCATAAACCAAGGAGTTCTTAAGTTCCCAGAAGATAAGAAGGAAACTATAGTGATAGATAAAAACCCCTTCTTTTTTGTGGCTACTATCAACATGGTGCACTTAGGAAACCAGAAGGTGGAGAGTGAAAGCAACACACACCCTATAGTACAAGGATCATATGAGCAGAAGACATCTTGCAGAAGTTAATATAAGCTATCTTACCTATGCAACAATAGCAAGAATCCTAAGGAACTTGACAAGTCAAGTATCCAATAATAGCAGTAAATTTGAGATACATTGGGTAAGTCATCACAAAATTTTGACTACCTTATGAAGTACTTTGCTCCCTTGAGTTTAGGCCAAGGATGGATTAATGTGGATCTTCTTATGGCTCCCAAAATGAAAGTCAACTTATTCCCTCAACTTGCACAGATGCATAAGAAGGCAAAGCCAAAGAGAATGATAATTTCTTCCTGAGGAATTTTAGACATGCAATGGAACATGGTGCGACACCCTAGAGTACCTATCCTACTGATAAGGACTCAAAAGTGGTGCTTCTGACATCCTAAAAATTAACCTCCTATTTAATTAGACTAATTGAGGGTAATTAAGAGAAGTAATTTGATATGTGGTTATAAAGAGTTAATGAATTTTTTGGGTTATGGTTTCATGGTCTCAACCTTAGAGTTGAGTCTGAAGTAGAGTTAGGACACCCAAACCTTAAGAAGGGAGAAAAACAAGAAGTGGCTCCATGCCACATGCCGTGATATGTACATAGGATGCTATAGCACACGAGTCATTAAAACACAAAGAGGACCTCTTTATACCATATGTTGTGGCACATGTTGTGTGTACTGTAACATTCAAGAAATATAAACTCGATTAATCAAGTTAATGAGGATAATTAGTAAATTGATGAGATGTGTGGTTAGAGGGGTTTAATAAGTGTATTTGATTGTGTTTTCAACCAAAGATATGGTTTAAAGTGAAGTCGGGCCATTCAGGCAAGGAAAGAAGAGGAAAATTAGAAGAAAAGTCCTTTGTGCCATATGTCATAGTGTATGTGTGGGCTGCCACGATGCACAGAGGCATATTCACGAGGAAGGGCCACTTTGTACCATGTAGTGGAGGGTTGCGTGTGTCGTGGTGCATGGCTAAAAATCTGTTCAAATCAGTTCATGTCTGTGTGAAAAATCAAAGGAGATGGAAAGAAGAAAACAATGACATGCATAATACTTTATTAGGGCACGTACATTTAAGCCCATTGAGGATAGTTAAAAGCTACCCAACACCTAAGTTGAGTAGTTTATGCCTTTCTCTTCCTTTCTCTACCATACTTTATGAAGAGTTAGGTTAAGGTTGGAGTTGGGAGAGTGATTTTTAGTCCATGAGCTATAGGTCTGAACCCATTGGTTAAAATAAATATAATGAGAGTTGTTTAAGGTATTTAAACCTAGTATTAATAGTTTTCTGAATGTTTAGTTGAGGGAGCCATTAATATCCAAATTTTGTAATAAATGAGGTTGTTGGATGTATTTTATAAGATCTTTCTTACTGAACCACATTTAACTATAAAATCAAAGTAATCAATAAATTAACCCTTAAAGGATTACTAAAGTTGTAAAATTATATAAAAGAGAATAATTCTCAAATCATTTATAATGGAATCCTAAAACTCAATTTTCAATCTCAAAAAAAAATTTGATACACATAAATTAGAGTTTTAAAATAATGCGAAGGCTTGAAAATCACGTGGAACCCAAAAGATATAATACTTAAAACTATGGTTTTTATAGAAAACGGTCCATGCATTGCGGCTTATAATACATGCGATGCGGTTTACTCACCTCTATGCCATGTGCCATGGTGTGAGGAGCTACTGAGATAAAATCGGTGGCTATCGCGTGCTATGTAACATCCTAAGTTCCTTCATTAGTAATTATCAATGTTTTCAAGGGGTAATTTGGTTAATTTAGATAAATTATTATTTAGTAAGGTTTATGGAGATTAAAATGGTTTTTGGATTCTTAGACAATCTTAGAAGAGGGCTAGGTCGAGGTTCGAGCGGGCTATGGCACGGAAAGAAGTTTAAAATTTTGTGGGGCTTTTTGTGCCATGCGTCATGACAGGCGAGTCAGTGCGCCACAGCGCACGAGCAAAATTAGCACTTATCAGATTACGAAAACAGATCGAAAATAGAAGAGAGAAGAAGGAAAAATAAGAGAGCAACAGAGGAGAGCTTTTGGTCTGCTAGGGCACAATCCTTAGGCTACTTTGAGGGCATTTGGAGCTTGATTCACTATTGGGTAAGTTGTACATTCCCTCTTCTCCCTCTTTTATGTGAAAATATTTGGGGTAATAGGGGCTTTGATTTCAGTTCCCTTGGGTTGAGACCGAACCCATTAGTTTATTTAAGATCTTTAAAAGTTAAATCAAGCTTCTAACCTTAAGTTTATGAGTTTCTGGTGATTGAAAATTTTTTATAAGGGTTTAGACGAACTCTAAGTATAATTTGAGGATTTTAAGACAATGTGGAACATTGATTAGCGAATTTAGTGTGCGTTTGGTTTTCAGTTTGTTAAAAGTCAATTTGATGAAAGTTCATTTGGCAAAAGTCAGTTTGGTGAAAGTCAGTTGTTGTAACGAAATTTGTGTTTGGATATTTTTTTTAAAAGTCAATTTGGCAAACTGAAAGTTGTTTGGATTAATAAAAATTTATGCTTTTCAAATGTACTTTTTAATATGTAATGACCAAAAAAGACATTGATTTATAATAATTTATAATTTTTATTATACAAATGTAATATATTAAAAAAAAGGTGAAACAAATTTAAAATAACATAAAATTTAAAATGTTAAATATTAAGAATAAGAAAATAAAATTTAATTTTGGAAAAAAATTACGTAATAAATAGTTAAACATTCATTAATATTGAATAGTTACATGATTAATGGTTCGATCTATAATATACAATCTGATCTTTAATAGAATCTCGAACCCTATTAATTTCTCTATCAGAAGCTATGCTTGAAATTACACTTGAAATTGTTGATGAAAATGCAGGCTCATTAATATCATCGATAGTGTTAACCATATTTTCATCCTCAAAATTCCTGAAGTCAGAATCAGTTATAGATTTTCTTCTAATAAAATTATGTATAGCCATTGTTGCACCAACAATACGAACTTGCTGCACAAATGGATAGCTAGGCATGTGTCGTAAGATTGCGAATCTATTTTTCTAAACCCCAAAAGTCCTTTCAATCGTGGTCCTTAAGCTTGAATGATAATAATTAAAAACCTCATTATTATTTGCAAATCTAGATGAACGCCTGAAATCTGGAAGGTGGTACCTATGAGATCTATAAGGACCTAAATATCCACGTGGAGTTGGATAGCTAGCATTTAACAAATAATATTTACCTACCAATAAAAAAACAGAAATTATAAGGTCTTAAAAAATATTAAAATAATTGTTTAAATTAGATAAATATGAAATATACCTTGGGGTGGATGTGGAAATTTCATGTTCGGCCTTGTGAGAGCATAGTCAAACAAACGAGCATCATGAGCAGTCCCTTCCCATCCAGCCATGACATAAGTAAAGCACATATCCCCATCACATGCGGCCATTATATTTTGTGTTGGAATACCTTTCCTTCCAATATATTTCCCTTGCTCTTCAACACTAACCACACATGGGATATGTGTGCCATCAATTGTTCCTATGGCATCTTTAAAGAATGGCCAATATTGCAGATCACCTAAAATTTTTGGATGAATATCTTGAAAAGTGCAATCTTTTAGTTGGATATATTCCTTTGCTAGCTTCTCACAAGCATGCAATACATTTCTAAAATGCCTATGAACAGTCTTTACTGAATGTTGAAATCGTTCTTGTGCCATCCTATTCCCCACTCCATGTCCAATAATATTTAGGAACATACCGACCATTTCATAAATCCCTGTTCTTCTGGTTGGACGTAGGCCATGTTGCACTAGTTCGTCACAAAGTTGAAGAAAAATATCTTTTTCCATACGAAACATATCATAACAACGTTGAGGATACCTTTGCAAAATTTCTTGCACCCATGCATGACCTGATTGCGAACTGGTTCTACAAGGCTCTTTCAATAAAGTTGTTGAGTAATTGGATATTATTGCAGTAATAGCCTCAATCTCATCGTCCTCTGCATGTACAAGTAATTGTAATAAGCGAGATTGCGTATTGTCATCCATAAAAACTGCATAGCATAATTAAACAACTATTATACTATTTGTCCATGACTTAACGTAAGAAACACATAACACAAGAGTCAAATAACACAGTCAGTTTTAAGACAAATTAACAACATGAACGACACTAGCTAAATTTTAAAACATTAGAAGGCAAGCTAAGATGATCTAATTTCATTTTTTGCCCAAGCACCTCAAATAGGCCACTAATGCTCTTCTGTTATCCCTAAGCCCAATATACATGTCCCTTGCGATCTTATCTAGCAAGGCCACAGCACACTGTCCAAGAAGCACCTCATCACAAGCAATCCCCTTGATTCCATAAAGTTCCTTTGCAACCTCCAACACATTTTGGTCAACTGGTTTTGTTCCACCCTCTATGGAATTAAGAATTGACTTCAATGTTAAAACCCTATCATCTTGTGTGGACACCAATCGACTCACTGAATCAACCATCACCATTGCAAGATGTTTTCCCTTTTTGTTTTGACCACTTTCACCTCTCTTTCGCTTGCTCCCTGAATTAGTACCACCACTGTATGCATTATTCAAGTTAACCTGCCCAATTTCTGGGAGAGCTCCTCCATTAATGTTTCTTATATCATCACTGTCTCCTGATCCTTCAGTCAAATCCAATTGAGGCCTGTACACATCTTGTGGATCATCAACCACAGGTGTCCACATGTAAGTGCCCTGTGCTGCAACTGGCTGGAACAACTGTGTCAATTCTTGTGCATATGGAAGTGGTCTATGCCTGAATTTCCTATACTCAGGATTCTCCTACACATTTACAAGAACTGAGTCTAGTATATCTATAAAATAAAATATGAAATGTATAGCATGCCATATATAATTGTATACCTTAATCTTTTGACTCCACCACTCCTTTGGTGCTAAAACAGTTTTCTATTTACTATCCCATCCCAAACCGGTCTCTTTGTTCAATAGCTTGTCCCATATATTCCAATCTTTCCTCAAATTGTCCCATTTATTCTTCAACTGCTTCTTATCATAGCTTCTAGAACTCAAAGCATTGAACTTTGCATTAGCGCCTCCCAACCTTCCTTTGATAAGGTAGAGCCTTTACGCTTATTTTTCTTAACTTGCTGGAGAGCTAATTTAATAAACAATTTGGTCTCTTTGATAGTCCATAGTGCCTTCTCTTTACTCATTTTTACTATCAAAATATCACATTCTCAATACAAATGAAATTTGAGGAGTAAAAATCCATAATTGAGTTAGAGTTAAAATATTAAAAATTTTACCATCCTTTTGTCCTTCTTAAAAATTTTACTATCCTTTTTTTGGAAACAAAAAGACAAAAAGATTATTCGATCATAGTTAATTAACCACTTGTTATCTTAGCCACATATAGTTGTTGAAAGAGGCAGTTATTCAAAAGCAGCCATAAGATAATTTCTACACTCACTCAAAAATTCAAATCATATAATTCAATAGTATGTATTAAAATAAGCAAGTTTGACCAGAAATTTGTAGCCTTTCTCATCCCTTCATCAATTTTCAAAAAATAAATTAGCTCAAATTCTTATCAAAATGAAATTAAAAAAAAACAAAGCAACATAGAACAATCAATAGATCAGTCACCAGAATATATTTTCAAAACACTATGTCATATTTCAAAACATTAGCAGATCAACAAAATAATTACAAAATGCAGTCATAAATAATGTTCTTGCTTGCTTATTTTTTCTTGTTATGTGAAGCTATCAAAAGAAGGCAATTAAAAAAAATCACACCAGTCTAAAAAATAAAAAAATAGACCGGAATGCTTCATGGTGGTCTGAAAAATGAAAGAAACAAATCGAAACAGAATAATTACAAAATGCAATCATAAATAATGTTCTTGCTTGCTTATATTTTCTTGTTATGTGAAGCTATCAAAAGAAGGCAATTAAAAAAAATCACACCAGTCTGAAAAAGAAAAGAAACAGACCGGAATGCTTCACGGTGATCTGAAAAATGAAAGAAACAGACCGGAATGCTTCACTGTGGTCTGAAAAATGAAAGAAATAGACTGGAACAAGGGCTTCACGGTGGTCCAAAAAAGAAAAGAAACAGATTAGAACAGAGCTTCACGGTGGTCCGAACAAGAAAAGCAACAGATCACATCGAAGAGCAGAACAAAGCAGCACCATTTCTAGATCTGACAAAAAAACCTTAGAGGCTATCATACCTTACAGATCGAAGAACAGATTAGAGAAGAGGATCAGAGTTCCACGATCTGGTCGGAATGTTCACCTTTACACTCCACAAGTTGCAAAAGTAGCTGGTCAGAGTTCTCTCAGCTCCAAAATGCCGCCCAAGTCCCAAAATGAGCTTGATCCGTGAAAGAGATGGGGAGAAATTAACGGTGAAATGTAGCCACCGTTGATGAAGTAAGGAGAAGCTTAGGGAAGGAAGAGATCTGGATCTGTGATAGTGGAGGAGAGGCGAAGGAGAGAAGGAAAAGAGATAGCCAAACGGTGGACTAGTGGCGGACGAGTGGTGGACTAGCGGTGAATGACCCGCGAACATAGAGCAGTAGCAAAGGACGAAGAACAACACTGATGTATCAGCTGCACGAATGAAGACCACGAGAGAAGAATGTGCGTGATATGTATCAGCTGCAAAAGTGAGGGGCATCATGGTCAATAAAGAAATTAGGTACTAGCCATAAATGTCCATCCAACTGATGACGTTTTGAAAGCAACTGGGAGTAGCTTTGCAAATTTTTCCATTTCAAACGTATTTGAAAGTCAGTTTGGAAAGTATGTTTTATCTAGAAAAAGGAAGCCAAACAACATTTTACATTCGAAAAGTTAAAATTTACTTTTGGGATGTAAATGTGATCAAATCCAAACGCAAACTTAGTGTATTGGAATGTGTAATAGGATGGTTAGAGTGTGTGGGAATGGTTGACGTTATTAGAAAAGGAATTTGAGTATTTTAAGCACTTAGAACATAGTGAATTCAAAGTTATCCGGAGTGATAATTGACGATTGTCACCTATTGGTGTAGATTGATCATTGCTCGAGCTATATTATGCATATAAAATATATGGAGCTAACGTTGAGCCACGGTAACCCTTTTTGTGTGAAAAAAGGGTTGAGGTAACCATATAGTTTATTGTGTTTATTAACTATTGTAACTGTGTAGAAGTAATTTTAAATGATAAAGTTGTGGTTTTGAAGAGTTTTGTGCATAATTTGACATTGTAAATGATTTTAGTATGAAAAAGTATTTTGAAATAGTTATTATTCCTAATTGAAATATATATACTATGTATATAAGTGTGATGTGAAAATGTGATGAAAAATAGTGGAAATTATGAAAGAGCAGGATCATAAGAGGTGGGAGTTTACCTGAGATATGTGGGAATGTGTGTGTGGAGATATGTGAGTGAAAAATCCATATGGTTGGGCTGACACCATGGGACATCCGGTGCAACATTGTATGGGATTGTTATTATAGGACATCTGGGCAGTCTAGCAACTCCCAAGTACCCGTTGGGGTGCAGTTAGGAGTTAATGACACCTCTTTCATAAGTGTGTGAAGAGAAAAAAAACCATAGTTCGTAGGCAGGTTAGATTACCTTTAGCTGGGTATTTTTACCACTGAAAGTGTGCTCGGGTCAACAAGTAGTTGAACCCGGAGAGCCTATGGTTTCATGTCGGGAAGCATTAGAGGTTTGGTGGTTAGATGATCATGCTAGTGTAAAAATTATGTGTTTTGTTGAGAAGAGATACATATATCTCATAATTTTTAGTATGTTGGATAATACTATAGTTTTGATACTTTTTCATGGTTATTTGTGGTAATAAATATTTAATAAGCTATATTAGTTATCGAGATGTTTATCTCACCTTATGGTTATATTTTACAGATCAAGGCTCCGATAAGGGCAAGGGAAAGGAAAGGGCATTTAAAGAGTAAAGAGCATCATTGTATAGCTCTTTCCTTTTCTCTTTTTGTGTGTTGTAACGAATATTGTCGATAATTATTGCCAACTTAAGAACATGACATTATTTGGATATCACTTATATGAAATTGTGGTAAGTATGTATATCTTGGTCCAAGAATGATGATATGGATTAATTGTTTGCTTGGCCAAGTTGCTTACAAGTGATTTATATATAGATATATATATTTATTTATTTATTAAGTATTTTAAGTGTCAAAATGACCAATTGATTAATGTGTTGAATTTTGTCCACCTCATTATGTTTTTGTCTAATGGGGGTTTGGTGGTCATTTTGAGCATGATTGCTTAATTATGTGACGTGAATGGATTGTTATGTGGAGTATGGTCCATTTGAGGTGGTCAAGTTGTCTTCGGGGATAATGGCATTGTGTATTGTGAGTTGGACACCATAGTATGTGTTTTGTTGTGAAAATGAACCATTTTGGGTTCAAGTGTTCATCTTTTAAACGAATGATTTTTTGAGTGTGAGACTAGTGCCATTAGCTAGAAGGCTCAAAGAGCTTCGTGTGGACACTTGAACAGCTCAAATCGGATGTCAGATGGCGAAACAACGCACTCTGAAAAGTTGGAGAGATGACATGACAGCAGGTATGTGCTGCGGAGCATGGTTGTTGTGCCATGGCACATTGGGCTATTAAGGGACTTGTCCCTCTGTGCTATCTGCCATGGTAAGCGTGGCCTGCGTCGCGACTGATGGACCAATATTTGCTGAAAAATGGCATTTAAGCCAGATTTTATTGTAGTTTATTTCCCATGCTTCTGTATTTGCTCTTAATCGATTTTTAACCATGGTTTGAGCTCAAACTAATTTTCTTTAAACCCTTGAGTTGTGGTAACTTCTTCTGAGGATTTTAATTAATCCAAGTTATCACAATGATGTGTAAGTATTGTCTTGGTAATGTCAAGGTAGACATTACATGCTACGTCCTTCATGGACTAACTTAGCTTTTCACTTGTGAGGAGTTACTGAGCCAAGATTGACTCACTCACTTATGTAATTTAGTTTCCCCTAATACTAACA